ATAGATAAGTTGAACAATAGGGTTGTGTGGGAGAAACAGAAATGAGGACTAAAAAACAGTCATATATTGAGGTACAATCGGAGTTAACAGCAGGCTAATCTACATGCAAATATCCACAGAAATTTGTTTTAAATCATAAACAATATAAAAACTACAAAAAGAAAGCTAATGCAAAACTAACCACAGGCTAAATAACCATTCAGATGAACCGCAATGACGTTTGAGATTGAGCATATATAAGAAACTTAATATTAAAGCTCAGATTTAATTTATTAGTACATATCTGACACATTGTCTTGTCCTTGATACATTATTATCATGTGTGCTGTTTGTCTGTTTTAATTATAATAATGTATCTTTTGTATTYATGCATAAACACCAACCCACTATTTTTGACTCTATAGCAGTGAACGGAATTGATTCTGCAGAAAAAGCAACTGATATWTTTTTATCACCACTAAACCATAATAATAAAATAAAAAAACAATATTACTTTTATAGCCTTTGTGGTTTTGAATAGCTTCATTTCCTGGACCTCTGCTGTGAATGTTGCAACGCCGCCACCACAAACTAACCCAACTCTTAAACAACCCAAACTTCCTTGCCTTTTTTTTTCCCTTCATGCATATATTTCAGAGCTTCGYCGTTTTAATTGTGTCATGTTGTGACTCTCTATTTTCCTCTTGATCAGTTTGCTGGAAAGCAGTAACCATCAAGATGAGGAGCACAGTCTCATTGCCCGCTATGCTGCTAGGCTGGCTGCTGATGCTGTGGTGAGATATACAGCACACCAGACATTTATTGCGCAGAACTATTAGGGCATTTTTCATTGCTGTCCAGTACCAAAAAAAAACTGTCCTTGATATTAAAAAAAAAGGATTTAGCATAATGCTGCCACTCCACTTTAGAGGTTTTCAGTCCTTTTTGACTGTCATTTTTAAGCAGACGCATACGTCTCTCTGTCCTCTTGATGAATGCCTGGTGACTTCACTGCTTTGTTTTCCTCKCGGTGCGATGTGAGCGGAGCTAGGCGGATGACATCACCCGGAGGTGAGGCCGGTTCACATGATGTCTCCTGCTTCGGTTTCACCAACAGGCTCAACAGCAGAGGGTCCCCACAGACCTCCCCTACTCTCTGGATGCCAACAAACAGCAGAGGCAGCTCATCGCGGAGCTGGAGAGCAAGAACAGGTCAGGGATGACTGCCTCCGAGACACCGTTCAGCTCGTTTCACTTTCAGGRGGAAAAAAGGGGGACGCCGAAACAAACTTCACACAGCATGCARTCAATAAAGCAAAGCATTATTAGCTGCTATTCAATTATGAGCTCATAATAGCTCCTGCTAAATGTCTTCTTTTTCACTGAGGTCACAGTATGCGCATAAAAGTAAAGGTCATAAGATGTATTTTAATGGAATATTTAATGCAAACTGTTCAAAGAGCTGCACAAACTGCATTTGGTGTAAATAACATGAGACAACACTATGTTAAAACACCAAAACCTGAAATGACATCATTTAACATTAGTCAAATCAAAGTTCAGGTAAATGGATGATGTCGTTTTAAAGTGCTTCTGTATAACATGGGCGACGCCCCTGCAGCTTTTTAACGACATGGTTGATGTTGTACTCCAGGAAAAAAAGGTCAGGTATAAATAATATATTTTAGCAGCCATGTTTACACGACACAAATACTGTAAATACTGAACTTACTGGGGCAGCTGAATGAAGAGAGTTATAGTTAGATGATTAAAAACTGCTGTTCTTGGCGACATGTCGMAACATCTGCAAGACACTCCACTTTTCACCAAGTTTATGATCATAGATGACATCATTTTGTTTAAAAAAACACGACTCAAGAATCATTCTGTACTGTCTGTTTTGCAGCAAGAGCAAGCGCAAATGTTTGGTGAACAAATAGTGCAGCTTTTGTGCAGCTGCTGGTTTTGAAAAATCACCAAATTAATCTATTGTTACAGCATGTTTCTGCTGCCCCCTAGTGGGGAAAACGAACAATTGTTTTATTGCAAATGATTGGGGGGGAGGGGGGTAGCGCAACATATTAAGAAAACATTAAAGCTATTGTTAGAAATGCAAWGTGAGTTTTTGCTCATTGTTTTTGAAATGCTTGTATGACAGAGAAATCCTGCAGGAGATCCAGCGGCTGCGGCTCCAGCATGAGGAGGCTTCCCAGCCTCCACCCAATAAGGGCCAGCAAAACCCCACCCTGCTCGCTGAGCTAAGACATCTCAGGTAATCACTTTATTGAATTACATTTTAATTATTTCATTCCAGAGTTCTAGACTAAAATTATCACATCACAGCAGATTTTAGCTCAGTGTCTGTAATATTTACTGAACTCTACGTATTTTTGTGTTTTCAACATTCAGTGGGCTGTGGCAGCCATATTGAATTAGATAAGTGTTAAAAGTGAATCAGTTGTAGCTCTATATCCTACGATTAATTCCTAAACGCCTCATAAAAATMTGTCCGGTCCTTCACGAGATATTTTGCTAACAGACAGACACAGGAGCACACACAAGCAAAAGCGATGCTGCCCGCCTAACTCATGTGTCTGATTAAAACAAGCATTTCTGCCGAGGCTGCTTTAAAAGACGTGTTCCTGATGTAAATGAACATGTGTTGGCGTCTGCAGATGTTGCCATTGATGTGACATCATGTTTTCATTAAAACTTTTACATTTTTTTGTCTTTTTTTTTCCCAGGCAACGCAAAGATGAGCTTGAACAAAGAATGTCTACTCTGCAGGAGAGTCGCAGGGAACTCATGGTGCAGCTGGAGCAGCTAATGATGCTTCTCAAGGTGCTACAGATGTGCCTTTCATCTCTGAGTGCAGTGCACTGTGGCCAAAAAAAAAAAAAAATACTCATGATTACTGAAGATGGAGCACATCCTGTCTCCTGTTTTTGAATCAGTGTTTAAATTTTAAAAAGGGGTCAAAGCTTGGTGTGAAAATCTGTTTAATGTCTTGATTCAGACAGGAAAAGGAGAGCTTTTCTGCACCCAAAGTAAACAGCTGCCCATGCTGGATTAAGTGGAGAGAATATCAATCTAATTAGCCCAAAAGGATCGATGTTAATCCATTAAACTTGCATGAGGGAGCCACAACCTGGCCACAACTCGAAAACAAACAAATAAATAATTGGATTTATTTAAAGATGCTGCTGCTGTTTTTCTGAGACACAACRTTGTTTTTCAGCTGGAGGAAGAACGGAAACAAGCTGTGAGTTTAAAATCTCTGACCTGACGTGCAATTAAAACTCTTCTTGGTGACGGTGTGTTTACCAAACTGAAGTGGTATAATTCTGTTTTCTGAATTATATTGGTATGTGCTAACCTGACAAAAAAAAATGCTTGTAGTTCTATTGAAATATTTATCAAGGAGATGAAAACATGTTTTAACAGCATGTTAAGCATTTCTGAAACGCAAATCTCACTTCATATTTGTAAATTCTGCTTGACTAATTCAGCATGAAAGATAGCTAAACTTAAATTAGCCGGACTATCAACTTAAATAAAATGAAAAAGAGAAATGTCTTTTTCTGCAAAAAGCACCGTGCGAACGCTGCAAGCTGAATGCTGAAACTCGTTTGTTAAAACTAACTAGCTAAAACCTACAATGCTAAATAAAAGCCAAAAGTAATAAAACTATCTGAAAGTACCAGAAGACTAGCTAAAAGCTAAATGCAGCAAAAAAAAAACTTGTTTGAAGCTGAAAATAACACAAGGCAAACTAAATGTAGCAAAAAATAGCAAAAGGCTTGGTTAATAGTAGCAAAAATYTAGCTAAAAGCCAAAGGGGCAAATGGCTGGATTAAAGCTAAAAATACAGAAACACTAGCTAAACTGAGCAAAAGGCTTGCTAAAAGCTAAATGTAGAAAAAATAGCTAGAAGCTAAAAGTAGCACAAGACAGGCTAAATGATATATGTAGCAAAAAGTAGCAAAAGGCTAGGTTATAATAGGGCTAGCTAGAAACCAAATGGAGCAAAGGTCAGATTAAAAGTAGCAAAAGGCTAACCAGACAAATGACTGGCTAAAACCTAAAAAATACAGAAACGCAAACTAAAATTAKCAAAATGCTAGCTGAAAGCTAAAAGTGGCAAATGACTGGCTAAAACTAATAACACTGCAGAATTCCCACAGTAAGAGTGACGTGTTTTAGTTGTAGGCTCTGTCGTTTGTGGGKTTTTTTTTACGTTAACTTTTTTTCGTCCAACAGACTCAGGGTCCCGGCTCTCTGCGCTCCTCTCCCAGCCACACCATCAACCGGCCGATCCCCACGCCGATCCACTCGGACTCTGCCGGCACCACTCCCACTCACACACCTCAGGACTCTCTGATGGGCGTGGGAGGGGACGTTCAGGAGGCCTTCGCTCAGGGTAACGCCTATCCCTGTGCTTCATGGCATTGACATTTTTACAGATATTAGTATGTAAAATCGAGCAGTCACGTGCTATAAATTCAACACTACTTCTTTTGTGTTCCTTTGCTTTTAGTTAACTTGCATATACAACCATATTTATAAATTATTTTTACTGGTATTTTACATTGCAGTAATGTCCTCAACAGGCAATGTTTGTCAGAATGACTGCAGATATGAAAACTGTTTAGACTAAAGATATTTCTACAAAGCAGGCATAGGCATGGATATATCTGGACCACAATGAGCTGCAAAATATTGACTTTGAGCATTAAAAAATGTAAAAAAGTTTATCTGTATGTGATCACTGATCAAAATGTTTCCTTTTTAAAGGTCCAAGGAGAAATTTAAGAAACGATCTACTCATAGCTGCTGACTCCATCACCAATACAATGTCGTCACTAGTGAAAGAGCTCAATTCAGGTAATAGGATTGAGGAGGGTGAAAACAGAAATTCTGCTAAAAATCCAGGGGTGCGTTGCCCCACCCTCACCTGCAGCTGGTGGCACCCATGGGTAGAAAAATAAATAGTATTTTTTTTGTCTGAGTTTTAAAGTATAAGGATATTATGYATTTATTTTTCCTTCCTCAGAGGGTGGCAGCGAGACCGAGAGCCTCTTGGATTCAGACTTCGGACGCTGTGACTTGATGGCTTCGACGTCTCCAAGTTTTTTCCTCACCAGGTATTCAGCGGCCGCGCACGCTTGCCGAAGCTCTCTTCCACTCCCGTGTCATTGTGGCCTTGTTGTTTTACGCAGCAGGCCTGCCGGCGCTGCRGAGGACCAAGGTTTCGAGAACAATCTGGAGCAGCAGCTGGAGGAAGAGCTCAAGTTGGAGGAGCTGGTTCAGCACAGACAAGAAACGGACAAAACCTGCATGGTGGGTCCAAAACCTGCATTTTGATTGACTGAATGACTTCTTTTCAGTCTTGTTTTCTCACTTCCTGTTTGTGTGGGTGTGGCTTAACACAGGTGACTCTGCAGCAGTGACTGTGACAGTCCAGGTGACTGGTAAGTTTCCGCTTTAGTTGTTGTTTTTATTAGAAAAAAAGAAACCAAAACTAGTTTTAGAGTGCAGACTGAAGTCTGTAATCTTTAATAAAGTAAATAATGACAGCTCTATTTCTTCTCAAGTGGCAACAGTGCAAATTAGCGATTTAAACAGAAAAAAGCAAGCTTTAAGATTAGGCTTGAGCAAATCCTTATTAGCAACTTCCAACTAACAAACAACTTTATAAACTTAATAAAACAYGCGGCTGAATGTCGTTTTAAAGGAGCTGGAGCCAAAAAAGGGATCAGATTTAGCAGAGAATCCGATTTTTCTGGATTACTGGTACTGGTTAATAAGCAAACACAGCCCCTTTCAAAGTGTTCAGCAGATTTGGAGCAGTGTGACTCCCCCACAGAGCGTCTACGCGGCCCCCCCAAAAACATTCCTCTCAATCTGCAGGAATGTGAGCCGTGGAATGAGTAATCCAGTTCAGCGCACGAATCGGTTGTTTTCACTCTGCTGCTTGGCAGAACATTTTAATTTCATTCGGCAAGGTCCTCTTTTTATCTTCATCCTTTTTTTCCCCTCTCTCTTTTGATCAAATCGAACCATTTCAACCCAACTATGTTAACAGTAACTAAGCAACAAATAAAGGAGAGCTTTTCTCACAAAGTAGCTCCTTCACTTTATGATTAGGTAAAGAAGTTAACGTAGGTTAAGAGTAAATGTTTGTTACATGTATTTAATGAGTAGAGACGTTGGTCATTTCTGCCAGAAAGGTAACTTGGCAGTTTAAATCTCAAGAACAGGTAAGAGAGGAAACACATCTCTTATCTACAAATACTTGAATTTCCTATTAAAATTAGGATGCAGACATAGAGTTAAATACCACTAGAGTGAGCCTCGCCTGTTCCGTCCAGTGTTAGCATCTGTGACAACAGCAAAAATGGCGACCAAACAGGGCAACTATTTGATTTCTAACAAGTCCAACTGGATATTTTTTACAGTGAATTAATAAAATTATGTTAAATTCTTTCAACAATCATGACAAATAGCTAGTCATATACAAGAGAAAATACAGTACATAAATGAGTAATGCGGATCTAATGCAGACCTAAACTTTGACATTTTTTAAATTTAAACTAATAAATCATATTTATAATTTCTTACCTGTCATAAATAAGGATAATAAATATTTACCATCCAGCACTTAGAACGTGTTCACTTCATACCTATAGGGTTAAACTTGTCTTTACTTACAGTACATTAGCTAATAATCGTCTCAACAGGTCAGGCTTGTCTAATATAAACTTAAAAATAGTTAAATATATAATATTCTTTTACACTGTGTAAATATTACATAAATCAGAGGCAAAACCAGCTTGTAATATTTAGTAGTTTGTGCTAAATTGTATGATTCAGCAAATCTATAACAATACAGTATATGCTACAGAATATTGGCTAACCAATTCATAATTCATTTATTCAGAATTAACAGAGATTATATCAGCTTTATAAGCTTATTTCAATTTTAAACAGTCACATTATTAGCTGGTCAGATCACATCCACATTGAGCTAAATCAAATCAAATCTACGTACTTTTGAAATGAGACACTTTTCCTGTTTCTCTTCTGTTGGTACATCCGCAACTCACACAGATTTCTGTCATTTTTTATACATTAGGTAGGTTATATACACTCTAAACTATTATTAATAATTTAGTTAATATTATGTGTTATTTGTGTTAATAGCATTTACATTTTTTTTTATAATCAACCGTAATTGTTCACTATTTTGCCAATRTGTACATCAATACTAAAACTCACTCTAGCTGTTCTAGACCACTGTGGCTTTAGATTATCAATGAAATATTATTAACATGCTTTACTTTGCTAATTGACAAACTCCTTAAATGCATTCATAGATTAAAAAACTGAAAAACATTATCCAAGATTGGAATTTTTTTCAAATAGAATGAAAGTTTCCTTTAAAAAAACGGTCTTAATGTAAAAATCTTCAACAAATTCCGGATCAGAACTGGGATGTGTATGTTTTCACACTCATTACACTTTATGTTTGAACATTTCTATATTGTCATCTTTATTATGTTTTACAGGTGAGCAATATGGAAGCAACAGGAAGTAGGAGACACTGGAAGAAAACAACACTGAGCTGAAATTTAAAAAAAAAAACAGCACTGAAGATGTGGAGATGTGGAGAGCTGAAGCTTCGGCGAATCCAACCATAGAAAATGTTTATGTAAAGATCTATTTTTTAACCAAGCACATATTTAAGGTAAAACTGTGAGCTGGTGTAAAGAGATTAATTACTGAGCTGTCTATTATACCACAGGTGCCATAAAAACACATTATTTGGGTGAATCATTTCTTATTTTTAACCTTTTTTTCTTTGTATGAGTTGCCAACAGAAACGACGCTGTAAATGCAGAGCAGGCACTGAGATCCTGTTTTTGAACACGCTGAACCAAATGTAAATGTTAAGTTAAACTGATTTATGACTCTTGGTAAATAATTTTGCATTTGAGCTGAAGTTATGAAATTATAAAACCTGAAATGTTAGTAGTTYTTTTTAGTCTGGTGTTTTACTCTGAGGCACAGGAACAAATTCAGTTTTATTCTATAGATGTTTCTTGCTGTTGCTACTAAATTGCTTTTGTATTGTTTTGTTTTTATGTTTTGTTTGGTTTATATGAAAAAAAGAATTGTTTATTACATCCATTTGTTTTATTTGATAAATTAGTACCGATATTGCACACTGCCTTAGCTGACTGGATGACCTCTCACTGCAATTTGTTCTACTGTCAAAGCAGCATGTAGCCTTTACGATGAAACACACCTGCAGCRATGCAGGGTGTCTTTTATTGAAGTTAAACTCATTCAAACTGATGCTGGGTTTAAATACAGGGCCAAACAGGTTGTAAAGCTTGGAAGTGCTTTCAAAAAATGTGGTAACGAACTAAAAAAAAATAYAAATGACCTAAATTCAAATACTGGCAATGATGCTGAAGAAGCCAGTGAATTTACAAATTAAATTTGAACTGGATCAAATAACGACAAAATAAATTATTGAGGAAAAATAATTCCAGAAAATAACCATCTGACTGTAGAGTTGGAAATATAGAAGAAAGAAAAACTATTAAAATCTCCAGATACTGATTATAAATGTGTTTTGTTGTGTTTCGTAGCCCTGCAACAACTGAGCTGATGACCTCACATGCAGAGTCAGCATTGGCTGTCTAAAATAATGCAACCCGAATTTCCCCAAAAAATGTTAGGACATTTTTGTCAATAAATAAATAAATAAACAGAATGCAATGATATACATATTTCATGAGCCCATATTTATTTACAATGAAACATAAAGATATCAAATGCTTAAAGTAAGATTTTTTTTATTTTTTTTTTAGGGCC